TTCTTCACGGGCTGTCTTGCACTCACTGAGGCCCCCTGTCTGCTGTCACTGCAAGTGACTTATTGCCCTACATGTGCTTGATGCACAGTGAATGCTGAACAGTAGTATATGCCGGGGACATGGTACGAGAAACTCAAGAGATTGAGAAAAAGGATAATTCAAATTACCCAATTTTAGCAAAACAGTCTCTGCAATGTAATGTGATTTGTGGTTTCCACGTAAAGGTGAGTTCGCTCAGCCAACAAGTATTATGCAGAGGCTGGGCTTGTTAAAGGCTTCGGGAAGTTATTAGTAAGCAAACTAGGAAAGGTCATGGATCTCAGTGAGTGTGAGCTCTAGTTGAAGATACAGAAAAGGAGCAATTGAATAGCTATATACAATTATCTCAGGGAGATGTCACTAGCAGGGAGCTCCTAAAACGGGACAATGCAATGGCCTTGGGAAACAGGGTGCCCAGTGTAGATTAGATTTAAATTGTTTGTTGTTGATGTTGTTGTTGTTTTAAGCTAAGACATTCATAACAGGAGGTAGTCTTGGATTTAAGAAGAATATGGGAAAATATGCAAAGCAATGAGAACATCAGACACAAACCTGAAGATGGAAATTAATGTGATGTGTTCAAGGAGGAAGAGGAACAGGGAGAAGAGGAGGAGACAGGAAAAAGAGAGAGAACAGTAGACAGGGTCAGAAGGCATCTCTAGCTGTGGCCATCCATCACTCTGCAGTTCTAATAAAGAGCCGCTGTTGCAGGCCTAGTGTAAGTACAAACCAGTGGAGGGTTCAGGTATAGAGATGATGTGGTCTCATTTGCAATTGTCTGAACAGGCTCTGCAATGCCTACATTGGGGAAGAGCAGAATGCGACCATGATTTAAGCAGAGACCTGATGCCATCTTGCGTTGGTGACATGACAGCTGAGCTCAATACAGCACTGAAATGGAGCAACACTGGAGCCAGTATGCTACCACCCTACCATTTAAAACATTAACTGATAGCAACGAGACTTCTACACTTACAGAAATTTCAAAATTTGTGTGGGAAGTTACTATGAGTAATGAGGAGGCTGAGTCAAACTCCAGGCATAATTTTACCTGACAGGCTGCCTTAGGTAAAGAGGAAGACAGTTGGACAGGGGGATCCACAGTTAAAATAAGTGTTCATATACGAGTCAAGGTGGTTTCTCTGCTCTGCCTTGATGAAGGTTTAGAAGGATTGGAGTTGGTGTCAGATCTAAGTAGAAACTAACAGGCATGCCTTTTCTACGTGTCCAGGCTCACTCATCTAGCAAATAAAAACAGTTCTACCCATGACTAGTTAGATCTTAGTCTGCTGCTGAAATAACCAATATATTGTACAAGTAGTTGTAGGAACAGCATTTCTGACATTCAGGTCTCTCCAAACTCTTTGTGTAGGTAGTTTTTTCATGGAGTTAGAAAGCCAAAAACTTGCTTCTATATACTATAATCATCACTTCATATATTCATATCTCTTGTTGAGTTAAGAAAACTGAAGATGACACAGACAATGAACTACATAGAAGTCTCCCTATTAGTTCTCCCAATTAGAAGGAGTTACATGGTACAGCTCAAGTCACATGATATTCTGAGCAGTTCACTGCACTAACCTGCCTGAGTATACTATGAGTTCAAGGAAGTTTCTCAAGAAATAGAATATTTGCTGCATTCATTCTCAGTTTCTCCTACTTAGAAGCATCTAATGATTGATTAGTTTGAGAAGAGAAACTCTTTATCACTCTTATCTAAAAGTAGAATGTTCTCATGCCCATAATGTGTATGTCTGGGTTTCTAAAGTACCCATTACTCCTATCTGTAGCGGATAGGTTGGCTGAGCCAACTGCATATACATATTGTAACCATCCGATAAAGTTTTCAAGTGGGATGGATGTCAAAACACCTCATTTATATTGTACAGGTGCATAGATTTAAACATTGACTAGTAATTTACTGTTATTTACTTAAATATAATGAGGGAAGATACAGTGAATGTCTATCTCTTATAAGGTACTTTTATTTTTTTAAAAAAATGAAAATTAGGCAACTTCAAAAGGAAGGTTGGCAGCTGGTCAAACCGAATAAATTTTGACTATTTAAAAATCTATACATCTTTAAAATTTTGATTTTTGTCCAGACATGTGATCAGCGCCTTCCTTATCCACTATAATCTCCAGGTGAGACCTGAGAGGAACCTAACTCTCTGCACCGCTGCCAAAGATCCCTAGAGGTCTTGGGGTTTTTTTATGACAGAAAGGAGCTAAGACAGAACAACACATTCTTAAAAAGAAACAGAGCTTCTGGGGTATGGCTTTCTCAGATGATCAGACACACATATTTAAATAAAGACAGAATTTCAAAGCTATAGAAAGAAAAATTGAACCAAAATATTATGTCAATAGTTAGATAAACTACATCAAATAAGTGAGCAATTTGGAACTAGTGAGCAAACAAACTATACCCGCAATTACTCAGTTCTGAGGTATGATTCACATCGCTTTCCTCAAATCTTGCCAACAATCGTTGCAAGATTCAATGGTTTAAACAAAGAAACCTACAATCAGACTTTCAGTTTGATGTTATGCTTTTTACTTTTTATTTCTATGGGTGTTTTACCTGCATGTAGTTCTGTGCACAAAGTGAGTGTCATGTGCCTGTAGAGACCAGAAGAGGAGCCAGATTTCTTGGAACTGGAATAATAGATAGTCATATGCTACCTTCTGTGTTCTGGAACTTGAACCTGGGTCCTCTAGAAGAGAGCCAGGGTTCTTAACTGTTGAGCTATCTCTCCAGTCCCAGTTTAGTTTTAAGAAAAAAAAGAAATAGTAAGATTACAAAGATTCATTGCAGTAGTTGATACACCAAGGAGTTGTGTACAAGTTGATACAACCAAATCAAATTGTTGTTAGGAAATAAGTTATTCATTTGGGTTTGGTCAAGTTTGGCTTCCTTCTTTCCTTCCTTCCTTCCTTCCTTCCTTCCTTCCTTCCTTCCTTCCTTTCTTCCTTTCTTTCTTTCTTTTTTCTTGGTGGTTTTTCCAGACAGGGCTTCTCTTTGTAGATCTGGCTGTCCTGGAACTAACTCTATAGACCAGGCTGACCTCGAATTTATAGATATCCACCACTTCTGCCTCCTGGGTGCTGGGATTAAAGAAGTGCATTACCACTGTCCAGTGGTTTGGTTTCTAAAGGTGGTTGTAACTATTAAACATGAAGAGGAAGGTACACAGAGTGACTGTGATAGTGTTCTTTTTCAGCATTTGATCATTCTCCAAGTTGAGTTTGCATTCTCTAAATATCTCCAACTTCTCATGTTTACAATAGATGCTGAAATATTGGGGACACTTGTGCATGCTAAAACAAATGCAAACAATTGCCTCATATCTAGGTGTCTGGATTAAACAAATTATCTCAAATGCTAGCTAGGTGCCTGGTAGTTCCATGTAAATACCTATGGTCAACACACTGGTCAGTGTTCTGCTGCCCTTGCCTACTGCTCTCTCTAGAGGGAACTGTTCCTTGCTAAGAATCAATTCTTTTATACCCTTGTGAGAACATGTTTCCTGACTCCATTCACATAAAAACTACTTGTAGGATAAACTTTCTTTTGTACCTGCAACTCACCTGCTACCAACACTGTATTCTCAGCCCTATAAACCATCCTGAAACTTACTTTGGGGCTCAACATTCAATCAACCATTACCACCAACGTGACATCTGTGACAAAAATAATATTTCCAAATAGATTAAAGTTTTGTGATGATGGTCAGAGAGCACCCTCATTGGATGAGAAAAATCGACAATTCTAAGTGAGTGTGCTTTAAAGAAGAATGACTGCTTTGTTTATTCAAGTCTTAGGATGATGATCTTATCTACACTTCCTCAAGCTCAGCGTTGAAGCTTGGACACCATTGGGTGATACTATTCGAAAATTTTATCAGCTTCCTTTAAAAATCTACCTATAGGAGAAGATAAGACTAAGGCAGATTCAGGTGTTGTCGGGGGAGGGGGAGATTTACAGACCCAGCAAGTGCTGGTACCACATGCAGGGAGTGCTTCAGTACCACACAGGCTTTGAGAAAGGTATTTGCCCTCTTCTGAACTGTTGATCTGACCATGCAATTGTAAGGAAGTAAGGCTCCTCTTGTTTGCATGTTGGTGCCTATGTTGATACTGGAAAACTTAGCATATTTATATATAGGATGATTACATGTTAAGTTTTGTTGCTCAAAGACAATTTTCTTAGAATTTAAAAGAACAAACACCCAGAGCAAACTAAATATCAGAAACTGGTAGAGGAGGAGACTAGAAAAAGAAGGAAGGAAAAAAAAAAACATGCTATTGAAGCTAGAGCAAAGGTCAGATATATGGCGGGAAAGGAGGCTTTACAGAAAGTAAGGAAGCCCAAAGTACCAGGGAGATAAAAGCTAATTTACATTCTGGTCAGCATCTGATAGAAAAAGGCAGAAAAGGGAACAAGGACACTGTGGAACTTTGTGGTGGTTTACCAGGGCAGGACTAGGGACAGGAGTTCTGGAAAGGACACATATAGTATCTCATTGAAGGAAATTTTACTCCATCTCTTTAGCATGACCAAGGGTGAGCCTCATGCCATGCTTTTCTTACAGTTAAACATAAATCATACACTTGATCTGCTCTTAAGCAATTGGACTAGATTTCTATAGAAGAAAATGTACCGAGTGAGAGCATTTGGGAAATCCAAATGTATGAGCCTTTTCGCATGAGGCAAGTCTGGTATGGCTTTGTGACGCTCTCTCCACCGTCTTTATTCCGGTTCGTCCTGCAGGGTTTCCCACGTAGCTCCAAAAGATTAAGACTGAAATCCCGACTCTCCTCTCCGCCCACATCAATTCCACAACCACCACCACCTCTCTTTGCATTCCGTGTGCTTCTTCACTTAGAATAAGAAACTGTTCCTTGGAATGTGCATCCTTCTGGTAACTGAAGTCTCCCCTCTTTCTGTTTTCAAGGATGGGAGGAACAGTTTTATTGGACACCAGCTGGGCGGGGTAGTGGAAGTACCAAACAGCAAAGACCAGCGGGTCAAGTCAGCCAGAGCCATTCAAATCACCTACTACCTCCAGACCTATGGTTCTGCCACTCAAGACCTCATAGGGGAGAAGTGGGAGAATGAGTTCTGTAAGCTTCTGAGGAAGCTCCAGGATGAGCACCAAGACCTTCAACTGTACTCTCTGGCATCTTTTAGCCTCTGGAGAGACTTTCATAAGACCAGCATCCTGGCCAGAAGCAAGGTCCTGGTGAGCCTCGTGCTGATCCTGACCACGGCCACCCTGTCCAGCTCCATGAAGGACTGCTTGCGCAGTAAGCCCTTCCTGGGCCTCCTGGGGGTGCTCACGGTATGCATTTCCATCGCCACTGCAGCTGGGATCTTCTTCGTCACAGATGGGAAATACAACTCTACCCTGCTGGGAATCCCTTTCTTCGCCATGGGTAACTATCCATCCTTGTGGTAATCGGATACTTGCCGGTTTGGGGCAAGGGAGTACTTTCTTGACTTCTCAGGTGGAAATCTGTTTTAGTTTTGCTTTGGTGTGTGATTGTGTAATTTTTTTTCCCCTTAGAGTTTGGGTTTGTCTTACCTTGTTGAGGCCTTCAAAGTAGATTACACAGAAATCAAATCATCCTTCCCTTTCATCTAATGATGCCAGAAATCTTTAAATTGTGTAAAATGGGAATTCTCTACTCGGTTTCTTCATAGCTGATACATTGGAATTATCTGATATAAAACTAAGGAGAGTCGATGCTTATTTCAAACAGGATTTTGTGCCCTCCCCCATCATAGTTACCCTCAATGATAGTTAACATGATAGTTAAAAATAGTGGAAAATGAAAGGTTTAAGAACAACTGATGTGTCTTAATTTCAGAGATCTTCTAAGGAAACTCGATCTCATTCAGTAGTGTTGCACAGAACCTACTGTATTTTTTTACCTGTGTAAAAAAAAATTCCTTTAAAATAAAAAAAAAACCACTGTCTGTTATCACATAGATATATTATCCAGTTTATATATTTATCTCTGGTGAAAATAATTAGTAATTATCCTTAATTAAGATAATAAATTTTCTCTCAGCCAAACATAAATCATGACCTAACTATAAAAATGATGCATGTGTGAATGCATGTATGTGATGTCTGTGTATGGATATTTTCTGGGAATAGACATGAGTGGGGACTCAGTGACAGGATGGGTGTGACTTATCGATAAAGCAGAGATGATGGTGATATTTGTGATATTCAAAAGGCTCTGTTCCATGTGGTATAACTGTGTGTGTAATAATTCAGAAATTGAACCTCCAGGTGGTGACCTAGTGACCTGACACAAGCAAGAGATCCAAAGAATAGCTTTGGATGTACTAGCTTAGTATCAGTCATGGCAGAGTGGTGGTGACGCACGCCTTTAATCCCAGCACTCAGGAGGCAGAGGCAGGCAGATATCTCTTGAGTTCTGAGTTCGAGGTCAGTCTGGTCTACAAGAGCTAGTTCCAGCACTGGTTCCAAAGGAACACAGAGAAACACCGTCTTGAAACCCCCCCCCAAAATCACTTGTAAATAAGTTTTATTATTAAATGCTAAATATGCATGCAGAAAGCTCTCTAGGTGGCCATGCACCCAGAAAGCTCTCTAGGTGACCACGCACCCATATCTTTCTACCTTCACAAGCATATTTGTAAATGAACAAGGGGCACACAAGTTGTACAAACTGAGGTCATGTGTCAGCATTGGGAACCAACTTAAGCATTACTTCTTTCATAAAATAATAATGGAAGCTCTTCACATTTTATTTTTTTAATTTAAAAGATTATAATGAAAGATGCTAGTTTAAAGTGAACACTCCACAAATAGCTACAAGTGTTAGTGTGTAAGATTGTATAAAAGTGTAGTAAATTTCACAATGAAAATGAAACAGCCCTTGGCTTCACACAATTGAGTCTTTAGGACTATGCATATCATCACAGATGCATATTAATTAGATAATAAAAATATTTTATCCAAAACTATATAAAATATTTTGTCACTAGTGATAAAAATGAGTCTAGGACTGTATTTTACTTTTTCTAAATATCCCAGTTCTTCTTGACTTGAAAAATGACACAAGATTTCTAAGAATCACAAAGTAAGACTCACAAGTAAGACATGGCTTGCTCAAACCTAGTCAAAACCAATGGCATCCTAATCGTGGAATGTAAAGATACTTTTCAGAAAAGGATAGAATTACACACTCTATACAAATAAGGTGAAAATCTACCTATAGTAATGCTCGATTATAATGTCAGCCCTACGAGGACAAAGTGATATTTCATTCCTAATAGCAAGAACACTAACAACAGTAGTTAGTGTTATCGAGAAGTCCAGATGTATAGGACATACTGTGTGCCTATCTGCTGAACTTTAGAACCACAAATCCACTCTGGACACCATGGGCATGGACTATAAGCAGACAGGTCAGTGTGTATTCAGGGTGCTGCTGCAGTTCTGAGAGGAATGTGTCTGCCGTGCTCCAAAGGCATGCCAAAGAAAGACCCACACACAGATTTTTAAAAATTCCACTTCGCCAAGACTATGTTTCCATCCCAGTTTTCTGCTTGTGTTGTGTGTTATACTGAACACTCAGTAATGTTAGTTTGATCTGGTTCTTCACATTGACAATGAAGAATTTGGGCTACTCCATAATAAATTTGAAGATGCTATGAAATTATTTATTTCCTCATCTGTTGAATGTAGAATTTTGTCACTCTCAAGTTGCAGAGTTTTTATTAACCTCCAAACTTTAATCCTAGAGAGGAACAAAGAGACAGAGAACGGGACAGAGACAGAGATTGACTTACTGATAGGAAATACCACAGTCTTGCATACAGAGCATCAGATAAGCAAAGCTACAAATCACAGAAAACACATGGCTGTGAAGGTGCTGAAGGAGAATGTGATGCAAAATATAAATAAATTTTGTTTGATAAATATGTATCTGTCACCTGAATGCCCAGTATTTGCAGAACGCTGGTTGGTGTAAAGCCTTTGGTCCAAGCTATGTTGTCTAAAATCAGTAGAATATAGAAAGAAGCTCAACACCTCTTGGAAATCTCTCTGTCTTAGTTTTCTTTTTATTGCTGTGATAAAGCTTTACCAAAGGCAACCTAGGGAGTACTGAGTTTATTTGGCTTATATTTTCACTTCATATCACACAGAGAAGTAAACCTAGAGGGAGGAGGAGCTGGAGCAGAGACCACGGAGCAATGCTGCTTACTCACTTGCTCTCCGAACTGACATTTAGCTACAGCTACCTTTTTTTTATTGACTTTATTGAGCTATACATTTTTCTCTGCTCCCCTCCCTATTTTTCCCCTCCCCTGCAACCCTCTCCCATGGTCCCCATGCTGTCAGTTTACTCAGGAGATCTTGTCTTTTTCTACTTCCCATGGAGATTAGATCCATGTATATCTTTCTTAGGGTCCTCATTGCTGTCTAGGTTCTCTGGGATTGTGAATTACTTGTCTGGTTTTCTTTGTTTTATGTCTAAAAATCACTTATGAATGAATGCATATAATATTTGTCTTTCTACATCTGAGTAACCTTACTCAATATGATGTTTTCTAGACCAATCCATTTGCTTGCAAATTTCAAGATGTCGGGTATTTTTTCCTGCTGTGTAGTACTCCATTGTGTAAATGTAACACATTTTCTTTATCCATTCTTCAGTCAAGTGGCATTTAGGTGGTTTCCATGTTCTAGCTATGACAAACAATGCTGTTGTGAACATAGTTGACAACATAGTTGTCCTTGTGGTACAATCGAGCATTCTTTGGGTATATACCCAAAAGTGGCATTGTTGGGTCTTCAGGAAAGCTGTTTCCTAATTCTCTGAGAAATCGCCACACTGATATTCACAGGGGCTGTACCAGTTTGCACTCCCACCATCAATACAGAAGTGTTCCACTTACCCCACATCCTCTCCAGCATAAGTTGTGATCAGTGTTTTGGATCTTAGCCACTCTTATAGGTGTAAGATGAGATCTTAGAGTTGTTTTGATTTGCATTTCTGTGATGATTAAGGATGTTGAGCATTTCCATAAGTGTCTTTCAGCCATTTATGTTTTCTGTTTTGAAAGATCTCTTTTTAGGTGTGTATTCCATTTTTTATTGGATTATTTGTTCTTTAGATGATCAATTTCTTGAGTTATTATATATTTTAGAGGTCAGTTCTCTGTCTGATGCAAAGCTGGTAAAGACCTTTTCCCATTCTGTAGGCTGCCATTTTCTCTTGTTGACTGTGTCATTTGCTTTACAGAAGCTTTACAGTTTCAGCAGGTCCCATTGATTAATTGTTTCTCTCAGTGTCTGTAGTATTGGGGTTATATTTAGGAAGTGGTCTCCTGTGTCAAAAGGTTCAAGTGTACTTCCCACTTTCTCTTCTATGAGGTTCAGCATGGTCAGCTTTATGTGGAGGTCTTTGATCCATTTGTACATGAGTTTTGTGCAAGGCAATAGATAGGGATCTATATTCATTCTTCTACATGTTGATATCCAGTTATGCCATCACCATTTGTTAAATGTGCTTTCTTTTTTCATTTGATGTTTTTTGCTTCTTTGTCAAAAATCAGGTGCTTATAGGTGAGTGAATTAATATCTGGGTCTTTTATTTGGTTCCATTGGTTCTTCTGTCTGTTTTCATGCCAGTACCAAACTGTCTTCAGTACTGTAGCTTTGTAGAAGAGTTTGAAGTCAGGAATTGTGATGCCTCCATAAAATCCATTATTGTACAGAATTGTTTTGGCTATCCTGGGTTTTTTGCTTTTCCACATGAAAACTAAGTACTGTTCTTTCGAGGTCTGTGAAGAATTTTTCTGGGATTTTGATGATAATTGCATTGTATCTGTAGCTTGCTTTTGGTAAGATTGCCATTTTTACTATGTTAATTCTACGTACCCAATAACATGGGAGATCTTTCCATTTTCTGGTGTCTTCTTCAATTTCTTTCTTCAAAGATTTAAAGTTCTTGCCATACAGATCTTCCACTTGTTTGGTTAGAGTTATTCCAAGATATTTTAAGCTATTTGTGGCTATTGTGAAGCATGATGTTTCTATGATTTCTTTCTCAGCCCATTTATCATCTGTGTAAAGAAGGGCTACTGTTTTTTTAAGTTAATCTTGTATCCTGCTACATTACTAAAAGTGTTTATGAGTCGTAGAAGTTCCTTGGAAGAATTTTGGGAGTCGCTTATGTAAACTATCATATCATCAGCAAATAGTGAGAGTTTGACTTCTTCTTTTCCAATTTGTATCTCCTTGATCTCCTTTTGTTGTCTTGTTGCTCTAGCTAGACCTCAAGAACTATTTTGAATAGGTATGGAGAGAGTAGACAACCTTGTCTTGTTCCTGATTTCAGTGAGATGCTGTGAGTCTCTCTATTTAGTTTGATGTTGGCTATTGGCTTGC